ACCGGATATAGCCTAACATTTGGGAAGGCAATAGTAGTTCGTGAAAAAACAAGAAGGATGGAGCAAAGGGGGACGTATATACTTGGCAGCGCGTAGAGGGGAGAAACGCGAGCGGCGGAGCGGATGGTGGGGAGCGGCGTGGAGGCAAGGGGGCGAGAGGCGGGACGCGGTAGAAGCCGCCATGGCCGTCTTCTGGCTGCTGTGCCGCTGCGCTGCTATCCTCCGTTGCCCGCGGCAAATGGGGGAGGCGCTAGTGGTAGTGGAGGCAGGCAGGCCACATCAACATGGCTGTCGCCTGTTGTTTTGCAGGCTCCCAGTAACAAACTCTCCTTTCTTTCAGTTTGGTCCCTGGCTGGCTGCGTCAGTTAAGGGCTTCTTTGATTCAAACATCTTCGTAGAGATTTTTGAGGATTGAAATCCTTGGAGTTTTTTTCTGTGTGGGTTGTATGATTTGTTGTATTGAATTGTACAAAGTTTTTTCTGAAGAATTTCGTTCGCACTATATTTGTTACTTAGGCCCACAAATATCGATGAAGTTATTTTCTTTTCTTTATAGATATTCACAAGACATGTGTCTGTAATTGCTGAAAAATTCAAAACCAAATGCGAATTACACACGGAAAATGGGTGCCGGACATGGTTGAAAGTGCATCTTTTAGATGCCTTTATTGGGGTTTTAGTGATTGAAGGCAAACCAATTGAGAAAACCAACATTTTATCAAGTCTATCTCTTGAACTCAGTCCTTTATAAATGGCGACCTTACGTTCATTTCAAGATGGCATCTACATTAAGCTCTTATAAATACCCCCTTATGGGACGGAGGGAGTACTTTATAGGTTTTTGGTGAATCCAACATTCACATTGGACCTAGGACAACCTTGCTACCAAAAGGGGCACATGAAAATGTACTTTGATTTGAACTTCAAGGAAAGACCACAAGCCAGAGATCCTCAAACAATCCACTCGAGCCACTCAACTCCTCTATCTTCCTAAGCCCGATTACCACTGACGGTGTCCTAGACTAGGGGGTACCAACCTACTTGGCCCACAGTCCTCGGGCCGGGCTTATGGGCCCTCATTTTCGTAAGGAAGGAATCCGGAAGCCTTGCACCTCGACGTGATCAAGACAGCCCCTGCCGAAGACTTGACATGTACTCCAAGGACATCTTCGTCCACCGTCATACGCATCCTCAGATCTGCAATCGACCATGTAACCATAGGTACCCCTCTGGCGTGTATATAAGCCAAGGGGTTTAGCCTGTAAAAGGGATCCAATCATAATCACATCCACCTAGCCTTAGGGTTAGAACACAACTTACGATCTCGAGGTAGATCAAGCTTGTACTTGATACACAACCATTAATACAATCAAAGCAGGACGTAGGGTATTACCTCTTCGAGAGGGCCCGAACCTGGGTAAACACCGTGTCCCTTGTCTCATGTTACCATCGATCCGAGATCCACAACTCGGGACCTCCTACCCCGAGGTCTGTCGGTTTTAGCACCGACATTGGTGCTTTCACTAAGAGTTTCGTTGTGTGATCAAAGAAGGATCCATGGGGTCGTTGGTCACCGAACCCAACCTTCAGGGTACTGTTCCCATGCTCATACCCCCGTCATCGGATCCCACCTTCTCCCTTACGAGCAAGGTTGCAACGAGCAAGAAGCGACCCATGAACCCTTCGCCTCTCCATCCGCCCCGGTCGAAATCCCCGTAAAGGGCGAAGGGCTAAGGTATTACTTGGAGAGAGACCCCGATAACAGCCAACTGGAAACAACCGAGGAATCAGATCTTAAAATCAGCTCGGTCGATCCAGCATCAGTATGTCCTTTGCAGGATAAAGACTCTGGAGTCTCGAGCCTGCGGTCTAAGGGGATCAAATTTTTTCTCCCAACCACCCCCACATCGAATACTGCCCGGATAATTTGGGCCCATCCGATGTCTGGGACTTAGCCTATGTGCAACAGCTACCTGACAAATCAATCAGACAATTCTGGGCCAGGTTCCTGTCCATCAAGAACAATATACCGGACTACCAGGATTCAGACATAATAGCAGCTTTTCAGCATGGATGCAAGGATAAAGGCATCTCAAACACCGTCACCCGTTGCTGCGTCCAAGCATTCTCTAAGCTATTTGATCCACTGTTAAGATTTTGAACCATTAAAGACGCCTGGCTAGCCCGGGAAAAGCAAACAAATTCAATCTCAGACAAAAACATAAAGCATAATAGGCTCACACTTCGGTGCGAACACCGCACACAACCATCATCAGACAACAAACCTCGGAAAAAGAGGAAGCCGGTTGTAGGATCCAAGGCTTCCCTCCACGGTCTATTGGATAAGCCACGCCCTATCCACTCTGTTCTGCTAAATACCAGCACAACCTCATAGTCTTCGCGACTGTTGGGTGGTGAGACATGTAGCTAAGGGAGGTGAAGCCCACCTCGCTGGCAAGAAAATATATATGGAATAGTCCCTGGATGAGGACGAGGTCCTGATGATCTATGAAGTCTTCACGTCAAAAAGCCAGAGAAACAGGCTCTCTGAGAAATTAGATCCATTCAATACATAGCATCCCGAGACACATGGATAGACACACCAATTACCTCCGACCATAAAGATCAGCCGAGGAGCACCCCGGGCAGATGCCCAGCCGCCCTAGTTCTTGACTCAATTGTTAACGGTTATCGTCTTTGAAAGGTGCTAATGGATGGAGGTAGTAGCCTAAACCTCATATATGAAGACACTCTAGACAAGATGCAAATCGATAAATCACGCATCGAGCAGAGCCAAACCACCCTTAAGGTATAATACCGGGATGAGAGGCACTGTGCAATGAAAAATCACCTTGGACTTGGCCTTCGAAAACCCCGAGAACTATCGATCCGAGGAAGTAACATTCCATATCGTCCCCTTTCAAAGTGGGTATCACGCCCTTATGGGCTGCGGCGCCTTTTAAAAGTTTCAAGCAGTTCCACATTACGACTATATGAAGCTCAAAATGCCGGACCCCAACGGGATAATTACCATCTCAAGTAATCCCGATAGAGCACTTAAAGCCAAAAATAAAACAGCATCGCTCGCCCTTGAGTCACTATCCGAGGCCCTCGCGGCCAAGGAGTTGACATCATTAAGAGCCATGGTCGATCGAGATGATATCATCCTTGACAAGCGTCCGGAGTCGACCTCATTCAAGCGGGTCGACAACATAGTCAAATTTCAAGTACACCTCACTGACCCAAATAAAACATCGTCGATTGGGGCACAACTTGAGCCGGAAATTGACGAGGCTCTACGCAACCTCCTTAGAGAAAACTGGGATATATTCGCGTGGCACCCCTCGGATATGCCGGGGATCCCCCGAAGATTTGCCGAACACAGCCTAGACATCTTGAAAGTCTATAAGCCTGTCAAGCAAGCACTTCGGCGGTTCTATGAACCCAAGCGCCAAGCAATGGGCGAAGACTTGGCTAAACTTCTTAAAGCCGAATTCATCAGAGACATTAAACACCCCGAATGGCTCGCTAACCTAGTCATGGTACCCAAGAAAGATAAGTCCTGGCGCTTATGCATCGATTTTAAAGACCTCAACAAGGCCTGCCCTAAGGACCCTTTCCCCTACAACACATTGATCAGATCGTGGATGCCACAGCAGGGCATGACTCACTATGCTTCCTAGACGCCTACTCGGGATACCATCAGATAAAGATGAAGGAATCCGACCATGCCGCGACTGCATTTATTACGCCATATGGGCCATTTTGCTTTAACATAATGCCTTTTGGACTAAAAAACACCGGTGCAACGTACCAGCGTATGATCCAAACATGTTTGAAAAAACACATCAGAAAAACCATAGAGGCATATGTCGACGATGTGGTTGTCGAAACCAAACACGCCAGGCAGCTGGTCGACAACCTTCGTGAAACATTCACCAGTCTGTGGGAGTATCAAATTAAGATCAACCCTGAGAAATGCATCTTTGGTGTACCGACGGGAAAACTCCTCGGATTCATTATGTACAACCAAGGAATCAAAGCCAACCTAGCCAAAATTCAAGCCCTGGTCCGACTAGAGGTGCCAACCAAGCTCAAACACGTCCAAAAAACTGGTAGGCTACATGGCCGCTCTAAGCCGCTTCATCTCAAGGCTCCGGGAACAAGCTCTACCCCATTACAGATTAATGAAACAAACCAAGACTACCGAGGCAACAGCCGCCCTGGAAGATATTAAAACCCTCATCGCTACAAATCTCATTCTAATGACATCAGGCACATTGAGCCGACGGTACTATACATCTTGGCCACCAACCAAGTCGTCAATGCAATTCTCGTGGTCGAACAAGACATGGAGGGCCATAAGCTTTGGGTTCAAAAGCCTGTTTACTATGTCTCCGAAGTCTTAACTCCGTGTAAGACACGATATCCACACTATCAGAATATAGCCAATGTTGTGTTCATGGTTCATGGCATCAAGAAAACTTCGGCATTACTTCCAAGAGTGCTCGGTGGCTGTGGCATCGGAAGTGCCCTTGAGCGAGATAATTAACAATAGAGATGTCACGGGATGCGTCGCCAAGTGGGCCATAGAGCTCCTTCCCTTCGAAATAACATACATGCCGCATCGAGCTATTAAATCTCAGGTGCTTGCAGATTTCGCCACGGAATGGACAGAAGCCGAGCTCCATAGAGAATACATCACATACTCACACTGGACAATGTATTCTGACGGTTCAAAAATGCTTGTCGAGCTAGGGGTTGGAGTAGTGCTTACATCGCCAATAGGTGACAACATCTGGTACGTGCTACAAATCATGTACACAGACTCAAATAATGATGCCAAATATGAGGCCCTTCTGCATGGGCTTCGGAGAGCTGTTTCGATGGGTGTCAAGCGCCTCAAAGTCCAAGGTGACTCTAACCTCGCTATCTCCCAAGTAAACGGTAAATTCTACGCCAAAGACCCAAAGATGACTGCATATCGGAATGCAGTCCTTAAAATCCCGGCAAGGTTCGAAGGGTTGGAATTTCATCACATCCCACGTGATAGCAATCAAGCCGTCGGGGTGCCAAAAGGGACAAGGTTCCCGATAACACCTTCCTCGAATGGCTCTTTAAGCCATCCGCGGTCTGGCGGGACAATACAATAACGTCGGAATCAAACGACACATGGCAAAGTATCCCACCCGAGGACAGAGTGGAGCATGACATAATTGGAGTATCAACCATTCAGGAAACGGCTTCAGCTCACGAGGTCATGTCGGTTATTGCACCATGGACCAAGCCTCTCCTTGCATACTTACTCCGCAAGAAGCTCCTCGAGGATGAAAGCACAAGTGCTCCCTGGGCAATTTTGGTAATTAATGTCAACATATCTCTTGTTGGACTAATGGTTTTATCTAGCATGTTTCAGATAAGTTCAACGATGGAGTGGCAAGGACAAGAGGATGTGGAGAACCTTTAAAATGCTAAGGACAAAGATTGGCAAAAGCTCAAGACTCTTTGTCTTTATTTTAGTGATCCAAGATCACATTGAGTCCATAGGAAAGCCAATACTATTAAAAGGGATGAGGTGTTCCCTAATGGTCTACTTGCTCAAGTGCTTAGTGATATTGCTCCAAAACCCCCAACCACTTTCTCCATCCAAATATGTCCAAACCCTAAACTCAAACTCGGCCCCACCGATTCTTTCTATCTGGAGCCACCGAGTTCATTTGACATAGCCACTGCCAGAAACCCTAATGATTCAGTCACACCGATACGGATCTCGGTCTCACTGAGATGGCCTTGCCAACGCTCTGTGATCTATTGCATTCGCTTCGGTCCCACCAAGTTTATGCAATCGGTCTCACCGAGTTGGCTTGACAGATTCTTTATTGCTTATTGCTTCACTTCGGTCCCACCGAGTTGATGCAATCAACACCACCGAGATGATGTTTTCCCTAAGCCCTAGCACATCGGTCCCACCGAGTTGTTCTAGTCGGTCCCACCGATCGAGATTCCTAACGTTCATATTTTCGAACATATCGGTCTCACTGAGATTTCTAATTGGTGCCACCGAGATGGGTCAAAAGTGTGTAACAGTTGGATTTTGTGTGGAGGCTATATATACCCCTCCACCCCTTCTCCATTAGTGAGAGAGCCATCATAACGTACCTACACTTCCACCATTCATTTTCTAAGAGAGAAGCACCTACTCATGTGTTGATATCAAGAGATTCCATTCCTGCCATTTGAACCTTGATTTCTAGCCTTCCCCAAGTTGCTTTCCACTCAAATCCCTCTTCCACCATAGCCAAATCCGAGAGAGAGAGAGAGAGAGTTGGGTGTTGGGGAGACTATCATTTGAAGCACAAGAGCAAGGAGTTCATCATCAACACACCATCTATTACCTTTTGGAGAGTGGTGTCTCCTAGATTTGTTAGGTGTCGCTTGTGAGCCTCCGTTGTGATGTGGAGTTGAACCAAGAAGTTTGTAAGGGCAAGGAGATCGCCTACTTCATGAAGATC